TTCTCTTCTCTTCTCTTCTCTTCTCTTCTCTTCTCTTCTCTTCTCTTCTCTTCTCTTCTCTTCTCTTCTCTCCTCTCCTCTTCTCTTCTCTTCTCTTCTCTTCTCTTCTCTTCTCTTCTCTTCTCTTCTCTTCTCTTCCCTTCTCCTCTCCTCTCCTCTCATCTCCTCTCCTCTCCTCTCATATCATCTCATCTCATCTCATCTCATCTCATTTTATCTTAGATGGATTCTTACAGCTTGGGTGTGGTCTTCTTTGCCTGTATCACCACCTTCGAGCCCGCAGCTGGTGCGGACTATTTGCAGAAGAAGGAAAAAGACTCATCCATCTCATTTGAACATGAGTAAGTAGATGTTCTCTTTTGCTGATGTGTCTTTATTGCGAATATTATTATGTGATTATGTTTTTGTTATCGTGAGTTTGCCTCTTTAAGTTTTGTGTGTGTGTGTGTGTGTGTGTGTGTGTGTGTGTATGTGTGTGTGTGTGTGTGTGTGTGTGTGAAAAGAGAAAAAAGAGAGAGAGAGATAGAGAGAGAGACAGAGACAGAGAAAGAGAGAGAGAGAGAGAAAGAGAGAGAGAGAGAGAGAGCCTCTGCAGTTCAGATAGTGGGTGGTTTTTGGGTGCTCTGGTGTGGTTTGCTTCTTCTTTCCTATCAAACATCTAACGTCCTTATCTCTCCTCCATATTTTTTGTGTTTTTTACTCTCTTGTAACACCTCTAATCTTCAGCACTTATATGGCCTTGTTGTGTGGTTAGTGCCGTAAAACACTTACGAAAACTTATAGTTCAGACAGTGTTGAATAATTCCTTTCACACCCCATTCCTCCTCCCCTCCCTCCTCCTCCTCCTCCTCCCCTCCCCCTCCTCCCCTCCCCTTTTTCCCTCTCTCCCTAACAGCGTACTGTTGAACATGCTTCTGTGGGAAGATCCAAAAATCAGACAAAGCCCCCGGGACATCGTCTTTATGGATCAGCATCTCGACAAACATGATCCGAGGTCAGCTGTCAACCACCACATGCCCACTGTTCCTGTTGGTGTCGACGACAATGATGAGGACGAGGATGTGGACGTTTTCTCTGTTGATGATCGACGGAGTTAACGATGTTGAAGAGGGAGAGAATGATAATGCGCGTCTTTTCGATCGCATCACACGTGAAAAGTCCAGTATCTGTACATTATTAACATTATTATGCTGGGCCGGGAGGACATCAGAGCTGCGCACTTACGAGAAAAAGCTCTCAGAGCAGCGCACTTAAAAAAAAAAAATTAAAATTTTTTAAAATACTATATCGATACAATTAGATTGTCAATTACCAAAACCAGTACCACCCAACAATGTAAGTACCCCCAGCGTTTTACTGGGCTTGGGGCCAGATATCAATTCGGTTTTGTATTGAATGAATAGGATTTTCAGGTATAAAATCATATCTACAGGAAAGGGGGGGATCTTTAAACTTTTGGGCCAGAATTTTCTTGGTCATTCCGGATAAAAATTGAAGTTGTGAGTCTTGTCCATCCGCGTACATTTGCTTGTTACACATTCTCCCTTCTTTCTTGGTAGTGCCTTTCTGTTTGGTCTGTGTTTTTAGTTTCAGCTTAGAAATGGCCCCGAAGTCGTTTAACGTCTACAGAAAGACGAACATATTTGAATGGGGGCTGTACAGAGTAATTTTGTCAAAGGGAACTGTAACCGTTGGATGGAATCGGCAATCTGGTTGTATCGACATTGTAAAAAAGTGCGTGGCTCTGTTTGTGCACGGCTTTGATAGTTTTATCTAAAAAATGCGCCGCTCTGATAGTTTCCACCTGAACTGTCCTGCTCACTTCTTCTGTCGGTCCGTGGGGCTTTCTCCTGTAGCATGATTGGGCTGGGTGCCCACGGTTCTGGTCTCTGGGCCGCTATGAAGTGTGGTATAGTCACGATGCTGTGGGATGATCGATACTGATGATAAAAGTGCTGATGTCTTCGTTTTTGATTGAATAAAATTGATGTTGTAAAACCGCAATCGGAGTTGTAGTTATTATCATATTATCATAACTTAAGATGTTATCTATTAGTCATCAATGATCAGTGAAAAAAAAAAAATGTGAGTGTCAGAATGGTAGTAGTGGATTTGTGTGTGTCTGGCTTCCATTGTATATGTCAAGCTGATAGCCACTTTTGTGTCAGAGAGAGAGAGAGAGAGAGAGAGAGAGA